AACTGACTAATTAATAAATTCAATGCTCTTCCTGCCACTGCTGGACTGGATGCTGATATTCCACACTAGCCGCCTCTGGGAAAGGTGGGAGGAATCAGGAACTGATCAGACAATTGGTGGATTGTTTTCCACTGTGCCTTGGCTCTAAATCTGCCTCCAAGGAGGTGGGAAAACTCCTTACACTAAACATGATAAACTTAAAAGAGTAATAGTATGCTCTAGTTGCCATTTGTAGATCTAATCTTGTGTTCAGTTGATGTTGGATTAAACCAAATTGTTGAGTGTTGATTTTTTCCCTTGTCAACTTGGCCAGAGATTTTATTACACACCTCTGGAACAGGTAAGACTTGAACTCAGGCCTCCTGGCTCAGGGACAGGAACACTACCACTGCACCACAAGAGCCTTACTTGTGGGGTACTGACTTTCCACGTGGCACATTGTCCTTTTTCTGTCCTGCAAAAATATCACAGCAATAAGCTAACATTGGTTTCAAATGAACATCAGCGATCAATATGTTTGAAAACATACAGATAATTTATATATATATTAATAAAATATATAACTGCAAACAGAATTTGACCATTAGGCACATTCAAAGATATTCTACCATTTAGTTAGATCTTTGACTTACTTTCACTAACACAGCTTTGCTCACATCCCTTTAATACCATCATGCAACAATAGCATATTTATCTCCATGGAAAATTTAAACTGATGGAGCCTTCAGAAAGTAGCAAATTTTCATTATTCTTTCTGCTTTTCCTATTATTTCATGGAGTGGGCCATGACTTGGAAGGTTAGAATTTGTTCCCCAACCCTGCTGAATTTGTTAAATTGGGCCACATCAGAAATAAGCACATTGCTGTGGTAATGGAGCCAGACCACGTGAACAATCAGATGATAGCAGTTATTGTTACCATCACTAAGAGCACTTTGACAATCCAGATTTATTGATTTAATTTAAATTCCACTCTGCCATAGTGGGATTTGAAACCTGTCCCCAGGTCAGTGGATTGGAACGCCAGTGCTATAACTGCTACATTACCATGTCTCCTGTGTAAAGCAATGCTTTAATGACACCATTTCTAATTCGATTCAACACCCAATTGCAAACCCCCACCCATCAGCATGTTCTTTTCATCTTATTTCCTTTTGTTCATCTAGCTTCCCCTTAAACATATCTGTACTATTTACCTCAAGCACTATTTCAAGTTCCAAGTTTTGCATTCTGAGCAAATGAGTTTCTCTTGAATTCTCTGTTCGAGTTACTGGTGGGTACCTTATATTTATGCTTATACCGCACAGAAGTGGAAATGTCTTCTCTACTTTTATTCTACCTAACAACCCTAAAGACCTCCATTATATCAATCCATCAACCTTCTTTGCTCATCTATAAATGGCAACACAACACCATTATTTATGGCAAAGCTGTAGCATTGTCACTGCAGGTGTCATTTTACCCACCACTACTTTGCTCAGAATTTCCAGGTAAGAAGAAATAATATTCGGCAAGGGTCTCACTCTTGTTGGCCATTCTGGTTTTGACCAAAATTCCTCCACTCTCTAATAGTTGTTCATTGCCATCATCTGTAGATGGACATGTGGGTGGTCACTGTCAATGGAGAATGTCTGGAAATGTCGGGCAAGGTAGAGGTCTGGAGGAGCACATGGTAAGCTGGAGCCACCAGATACAATTTTTGCATTTTTGTCGAGTTCCAAAGAACAGTCTTTAGACTTGAAACATTGACTCTGTTTTTCTCTCCCCACAGATGCTCTCTGTTTTTATTTCTAAGCATTGGCAATCTGATTTCTTTCAAGGCAGCCAAAATGTAATTAATGAAGTCTTTCTGAGGAAGGGTCACTGGACCTAAAACGTTAACTCTGATTTTTTCTTCAGAGATGTTACCGGACCTACTGAGTTTTTCCAGCAACTTTGGTTTTCGTGAGGATGTGCGGTTTCCTTCCCTAAAAGACATTAGTGAACCAGATGGGGGTTTTCCTGATAATCAACAATGGATCCATGGTCAACATTAGACGCTTAATTCCAGATTTTTTTTTCCACTGAATTTAAATTGCTCTGGCGAGATTTGAACCAGAGCCCCCAGAATATTACCTGGGTCTTTGGATTAACAGTCCAGCGATGATACCATTAAGCCATTAGTGGTAATATCGTAATTCTCAGCTCAGATCAAGAACATCTATCTCCCAGTCTTTACTGGAGATGACTGAACCCTGAATATGATGTTTTCTCATCAATTTGTTAATTCTGCTTCCAAGAGGCTGAGTATCACTCTGGCAACAAACTCATGGTGACCTCAAATAAATCAAATTATCATAACCTGAACAAATATGGATGATCACTGAAAAATTCTAACTTTGCTTGAAGCAAACCTTTCAATCTTAATGTACACCATTCCCCAATTCTGCTATCATGAAAAGTTATAAGAGCTGAGTTGAATTTAAGTGAAGGAGTTCTTAGGCATTAACTAAAAATTGTCCTATGACAGTTCGATACTTCATCCTAATACTTAATTCTTCACCATTCAGTGTTAAATGACTGGTAGTCGTCTGGTCGCTCAAAATACATCCCAACCAATCTTCCTTCCTTCAGTAATGTAAATTTCTATTAGGATGTTTAAGTTCATAAAATGACTCTTTCCATTGAACAATTTTGCAGCATTTATGGTGAGAATAGTTCATTGATCATGTTGTAATGACATGTTATTCAAATAATTAATTTAAAATATCACTGAGCATATATTTGTATCATGGACTTTTTGAAAGGAACATTTTGCAAGGCAAGAGAGGCTACTGCAATATGTTGTATTTGCAAAGATCACAAGCTGCTTGGATGGAATTACTGAATCTGACATACTTTCTGAGATAGGTCACATGACCCACTTTGCAGGTACAATTGGATTTGAGCACCGGCAGTCTGAGACATAAGTTGGAGCAATAGCCTTTCCCCTCTCTACTTTCTCTGAAACCCCTCTCAGCGAACTGTGTGAGTTGAAAACCTACTGGAAGGCCCCACCACAGAAGGTGCAGGGTTCCTAAAGTAGAATTTGAAATCTACACCACCACTGTATCCAGAATCTGATCTAACTTGCGTGCCAAGTGACTTCAAGTACAGACGAACATTTGGACAATCTGTGATCTTTTATTCCCTGAATTTAACTGTTACTCAGTTGAATCATTTTAAGATACCACACTGCAGAGTATATTTTTCCCTCAAAATTTGAGGCTTTTTGTATGTGGAGTTATTTCAAGAAGGGTAATAGTAGTGTATAGTTGCACAGTTTAAATTGTTTGTTAAAAATCTTTGCATCCTTGAGTAAGTTTTAGTTGCAATAAACTAATTATTTACTTTTCACTTAAAGAGTTTGACTGTCTAATTTCTGATATTGAGCTACTTGCAGCTTGACATATATATAATTGGCAATAATAACTCCCATTTTAAATTCATACTTTACTGTAACCAGTGGTGGAGAGGGGAACGAGGACTGCAATCAGTTCACCCATCCTGGCTTAGTTATAATAATTACTTTCAGCAGATGATACAACTCAAACGCCAAATTGAATACGATTAGGACAACAACATAACTTTTCCAGAACATTAAACCAGATTTCTTATTTGTAGTAAATTGTCAAATTTCAATCAAAGTAGTGGTACTACTTTGTTTAGAATTTTCAAATTACAAGAAAATGATGGTAAGAAGGCATACCACTCTTGATTGCCATTCAAGTGATCATCTTTGGAAGTGTGTGGATGAATATCTCTAAGAAGAGGACTGAGCATACCTGGGATAATTTCCACAATTAAGTAATTTAAACCTGTAAAAAGTCAAAAGGTCATAGTACCAATGGGCTTTTCTCACTCATGTGGCTGTACCTTCAGCACAGGAAGAGAGCATCAAAGGGAAGTTTGAATAAAGGGTCACATCTGAAGTCACAGCAAAACATTTGTTTAGAATAATGTAACCTTGTACAACAAGCTAGCAAATCAAAGTGTGAAAGTCAAATCTTACTATTATGCTATACACTTTACTTGGTTTAGAAGCTAAATGAATTGCTGCAACATTGACTTTTTTTTTGCTCAAAGCTCTTAAAGATTGATTAATTTACTATTCTTACCTGTGACTTCTTTGTTTCTGGATGTACATGCTCTGCTGAATGCTATTAATAAAAGGATATTACAACCCTTTGTGATGTGTGTATGTACAGCATTACATTATCATGTGACCAGCAAAGGAAATAAGCAAAGTTTCATTCTTCAGCATGTTAACAGGTTATTATGTGCATAATGACTATCATAATAAAGTCTAAATGTTGCAGAAGAACAATACAACTTAGGGACACACATTCACAGATCATTAGCAGCATTTTAACAAGGCCATGATATGTGCAAACTATCACTGGAGTTCATTTTTGTGGAAACAGAATAGCAAATCGGAACTTATGTTCCGTTTTTACATTATTTTGGCTAGACAACTGTTAGAGTAGTTTGTATAGCACTCGTCATCTGGAAGGACTGTAGAAAGTGCAAAAAATATTTTAAAAGATGATACCAGCAATGAGAGGTTCTATCATGAGACAGAGGCAGGAGTTTTTCCTCCAGAAAAAAGAAGGTTGAGGGTAGAGATGTTTAAAGTTAGAAGATAGAGAAGCAGTTTACACTTGAGAGAGAGTCCAAAATTAGGCCATTATTTTGATAGTCACTAATGAATCCAATGAACTTCTTTGTTCAGACAAATGATTCATACATGGAATCTGTACTACATGATGTATGTGAAGTAAAAAGTATAGATAAATTTAAGGGGAAGCTGATAAGTACATGAGGGAGAAACAAATTAAGGATATGCAGATATGGTGAGATGAAGTAAAGGTGGGAAGGAGATCTGTATAAAGCATAAGCACTGGCATAGACCAGTTGAGCTGAGGCCTTTTCTGTGCAATAAATGTTTAGTAAAAACAAACTTTCGTAGCCAAAAGACCTTACCATAACCTGTCGTCGAAAGGCCTAGGTGCTTCATTCGGGTTTTTACTAATTCAGCCAGTTCTTGTCTCTCCGACCTTTTGCATAACGTCATGCGCTGACGATTAATCCTCTCTGTTATTTTATTGGAGTGTTTTGGTGCTTTTCGGCTAAGGCGCCTTGCCCACTGCATGCTTTTACGCCTCAGTAAAGGATGATCCGATTGGTCACTAGACGTCGAGTTCCGGTGGTAGTGATTGGTGCAATAACTCATGTGCTCTTTGGAATCTTTTGTATCTTCCCAGTCCTCGACGCTAATGGATACTTGAGACTGAAAGAGAATCAATACTTTAAAGATACATCTCTATCATTCCTAGACCTAACTAAGTTAAATGTGCATACACAGCAGAAATGCATGCAAGTCCTGGCAGTGTGGACCAAACCATGTGGCTACATGGGACAAACCTTGAACATTTGTCGGGGATCCTTATTATAATTCAATCGGTAGGCGGTCAGGCTTAACTAACTATTGAATAGCAGCTGCCTATTTAGATGAATGTTGGTTTTCCCAATGCAATTTAAAGCTAGTTCACATCTCTTAAAGGAGTAGGTGCACTTTGGCTGCATGCAGATGATGTAAGGGGCTCCTCGCTTTTGCAACAACACAATGGAGATTCTAGTGGAGCGATTTGGTATGAGGTCTTCCCAGCAAGAAGCAGCACATTTTCAGCTTGGCATTGCTGGGCACTGGAGGTGAAATTACCAGCAGAATCATCGAACAGGTTTGGTTCTGTAGGAATAAGTTTAGTGATCTCCTCAGGGTTGTACATGGATGATTCCTAACTCCAATTTTGGTATTCATCACCTCGCCCTTTGGCCTGATTACCAGCAGAATCCCACATTTACTCCAGATCCTTTAGCTCTTAATACCATAGTTTACAAGAGCCGCTCTCCTCGACAGTACCACCGTAAGCTCCTCACACCTTGGTTATGCTTTACACCCCAGTGCTCCGAGTACATATTGATGTGCACAGCTCTAAACATCATCTCACCAGGGAACCATTCAAACACTCCTGGTGTCAAAGGAGCGGCAGTGAGGAGGGCATCCATTCAGAAGCTCCTCTCACTTAAACACTGCTGCGTGCAACAAAACATTAGAAATACAAAGTCAAAGGCTGCACCAGACTGATTCATGTTTGCAGGTAATCATCGCTTGCTGAATGAGAGCTCTGGAGAACTCCTCTGTTTTTGTGGAGCCAGACTAACACCTATTATTGTGGGTCACGCACATGTGGGGATGGATCCTCAGTTCTGAGTAAGTGTCACTTGACACGAAGTGTTAACTCTGGTTTTTCTCCACAGATGCTGCCAGACCTGCTAAGCTTTTCCAGCAATTTCTGTTTTTGTTTATGAAGGGATGGGGGTTCGGCGCAATGTGAAGACATCACCAGACACAGGCCTAGTGACTTCATTGCCAATGATCGAATTCTAGCTGAACAATGTAGCACTGGAATAGCTTCCTACTATAAACCATGGCTGGTTCGTGATAAGGAAAGAGCAGGCCAAAATGTGAAGAACATCTTGCATCCAGAGAAATCTGGTAAATTTGAGACGTTTTGCCCCTTAGCAGCCTCTATAGAAAGGTGATGCATTGCTGTCATTTTGAAAACAAGAAATACATTTATGGCCCATTAGGATTGTAAACTTACTGGCCTTGTGGAGGTCACCAGTCACAGCCTGAAATAGCTGGTTGGAGGGAAATTAAGAGCCAGTATTACTTTGAACCTGAGTGTTTGTCCTTATTTCTGGTGCTGCAGCAGGCAATGTACATTGCGAAAATATAGTCACTCCTGTAATATTTTAGGACCTGAAAAATCAACACTGGCTCCTTGTTCATTGTCATCTTTGATCCTGAACACGTCTTCATTGTCATGTTACTACTCCTGTTGCTGCTACTTGGGCAAACTCAATGATAATCCTAGCGACATAGCCATCTTTTTAAATACTCTTACAGCCAATTAAGGCAAACAGTGCAACTGTAGCCAAAGGTCAACATTTCAACTGCTTGTACCCTGGACAATTGCCAAATTAGCCAAAATATTGCTATATTAATCGAAAATTATTTGTCAGGAAATATGAACATATGAACAAGAAACAAGAAGAGGCTGCTCAGCTCTTTGAGACCTGCTCCACCATTCAATACGATCATGGTTGATCTGATTTTATCCTCAACTCTACATTCCTGCATATCCTTGATAATCTTTCATCCTCTCAGTCATCAAAAATCTATCTACTCCACTGCCTTATGACGGAGGGAATTCTAAAGACTCACAACCTTGTGGGAGAAAAACTGTTTTCTCATCTCAGTTTTAAATGGGTGACCTCTTATTTTTCAACTCTGACCCCTCATTCTAAATGTTGGCTGCCTTTCCGAGGCAGTGACAAGTGTTGATGGAGTCAAAGGATGGAAGGTTGGCTTGCATGATGAACTAGTCTGTGTTCATAACTCTCTGTGGTTTATATGGTCTGGGCAGAGCAGTTGTCTTACCAAGCCATGATATATCCAGATAGAATGCATGCAACTGCAAAAGATGGTGACAGCCCTTATGGACATGCCGAATTTCCTTAACCTCCTGAGGAAGAAGTGGTGTTGTTGTACCTCCTTGACCACCACTTCAACGTGGGTGGTCCAGGACAGGTTGTTGGTTGACGCTCCAGAAGGTAGGCCAAAAGATAAAGGAGATCAGGTCGCCTTGTTAGAAATAAAAGCCATCATTGCAGTGGTGAGTATTCATGTAGGTATAATGGATCATGATATGGAATCAGTTTGGATGAACATTGGAAGAGTAAGGGAAAGAAATCATTGGTGGGAGTCCTCTGTAGAACCCCACAGAGATGTTCCACCGTAGGACACAATGTAATCGGGAAATAATGGAGATGTGTAACAAGGGCACTACAATTGTCATGGGCGCTTTTAATCTGCAAATTATCTGGACAAATCAGATGGGTGAGGATAACCTGGAAGATGAATGTGTTGAATGCAGAGATTATTTCTTAGAGCAATACATTGCAGAATCTATACAAGCTATTGTAGATAGAGTAATGTGTAATGAGATAGGATTAATAAGAGATCCTATTGTTAAGGATCCTCTGGGGGTAGAGATCACAACATGGTGAATTTCAAATTCAGGTTGAAATAGAGAAACTTGGATGTCAAACTAATGTCTTCAACTTAAATAAGTGTGATTTAAATTTATCTAAAGCGTGCTGGGAAAATAGACTAAGGGGGTGATCAGTAGACAAGCAGTGGCGGACATTTAAGAGGTATTTCACTAAGGCCTAGCAAAAATTTATTCAAGTCAAAAAGAAGGATTTGATGTAAAGGATGAATCACCTGTGGTGAACAAAGGTGATGAAGGAGCGTATCCAATAAAATTAAGGCATAGAAAGTGTTGAAAACAAGTGGTGGACCTGAGGATTGAATGTTTTAGGAACCAGCAACAGATGACTACGTTTACTTAAGAGGGATTCATAGGGTAGATTTTGAGGTGATGCTTCTACTAATAGGGAAATCTTGAACTAGGAGACATTGTTACAAAATAAGGAGGAATTCATTTTAATCTGAAAGGTGAAGGAATTTCTTCTCCTGGAGAAGAAATTCATGTCTGGAAATCTCTACACCAGAGAGTTGAGGATGTTAGATCGCTGAAAGTATTTAAAAAAGAATCTATCTACTTCCTGTTTAAATAGCAGGGAATTTATGGCTATGATGAGCTGGCAGAATAGAGGAGTTGACGCCCATAGCAGAACAGCCAAGATCTTGTTGAATGGCTGGCAGGGTGTTAGGGTCGAATGTTCTACTGAGGCTATTACTTCATAAGTTTATATATTGTTAATTGTCATATAAAGAGGCATTTGGAATACGTGATTTCTGAAAATTAGAAGAAATGTATCTGTGGATCTTTCAATAATAAGGTTAAATGCTGACTTTGTGTGATTGTGTAAATTGGGTGATATTTTGAGCGATCCATCTTGCATCTCTCATGATTCTGATTTCCATGGAAGTCAGTGGGGAAAGATAAATAATGGATTGCTAATTCACCACTCCCTGTTTTACACACTGCACACAGGAACATACTCACCCCAACTATTACTTTTAAAATAAACATAAACTGGTGAATCCTTTTTTTTCTTTTTTGTGGTCATCAGAACCACAATTTGCCAAGTTTCTAATTCAAGAAGGAAGATAGGCTCCTCCTTCAGCATACATTCTTTCGATAGTGTATAGAAAAACATTAATAACTCCAGAAAGAAATGTTGTTTGTGCCTTGCACATTCTAAACCAGATTTATCAGGGAGACAATTACACTGGAACTTCAGAGTGATGTCTTTCCATCTTCTGCACCGCACAGCCCTAATTATTTTTACAGTAGTTTGGATGGTTGGTAGAGCAGATTGATAACAGTAGTTGCTGAAATTCATGCTGAACTGGTTGAAAATACAATCACTAAAGCTTAATGAAATGGAACCATTCATGGATATTGTTCGTTAAAGTCCAAAACACAATCACTATTTTTCTCATGTGATTTGCCAACGAAAGACGTTCAACTACTGAGGCATTCAATCTTAATTTAGCTGTGGCCTAAAAGAAACATAACATTTCAAATGTGTTATTGGCAATAAAATAATTGTTTATTCAACAGTTTGTGTGTTGTATGATCCATCTGTCAAACTATTACTTTATTGCATGCCACTTTTAATGTATAATACAGAAACATTTGCAAAATTAAAATACCACGTAAAAGCTCATGAGACACATCTTTTTCATTCTTTATTCAGTCAACTTTATCTCTACAAAACTCTCTTTGTTGTATAGGATGATACTATCAATGTACTACTTTTACAGGACTTCAATCTGAAATTCACTCATTAAAGTCAAATCAGAAGCAAGAAAATGTGAAATGTACCATTACTGCATTTTCAATTAAAGATGAATGTAATGAGACCTAATAAAAATGGTTTTGCTATGATATTTGAACAATCCACTTCAAGTACCCACAGCAAAGTACAATTTCTACAGCTATACCAATCTGTTAAAGGGTAGAAACACTAGGATCCTTTATCAAACATAATTGGTCGATGTGAATAAAATATCTCTGAAATGGTAATATATATCAAAAATTAGAAATCAAACATCTTATTCTTGTTAGCAAGTGAACAGTGGCTTTTGTAAAGGATAAAAGCCTTTGTTCTGTTACTCATGGCAAATACAGTTGTCTCAGTGAGCACTGGGATCTCATATTTGTAATGACTTTTTTCAGCAATGACTTC